TCTCTCCTCCCCCACACTTAAAACAGCAAATAATCAAGCTGTGTCCTGTCGACTACATTAACTACAGTAATTGAGTGTGTTGGAAGAAGTTGTCTTTCTTTTTGTTCAGTGGAAATGAGAATTCCCCACTGCTACTCTCCTTTAAGTGCAAGACTTGCGCAATCAAATAATGACTACATCCTCAAAAGGCATGTATTTGAAGCAGTGGTGATGGAGTAGTGGTCTAGCATATCTAGTGCTTGTGAGGCTTGCAGGTTTAGCCGTGACTCGCACTTTGTTAAAACAGCACATAGCTGAAATCACTGGAATTAGTCATTCAGTTTGGAGGCGGATGATGAGAAGTGAGGTAAACAGGTAAACAAATAGAACACTTAGAGCTGGAGTCTGGCATAATGCAACACCAGCTAGAGACCATCATCTGTTTCATAACTGTTTTGATTGTGTTGTATCAGAGAATACCGCAATGGTGCACTACAAGACAACAAAACATTAGGGTTGGCAATTCTGATGTTTGCAACTTTTGCTTAACAAACTCAGACACAGACATCCATTGATGGATGAGAAGCAGGTTCAGCTGTGCTTTCGGCAATCCCATTCACTGTATTATCTCTTTCCACACTCTCAAGATATATCTTGCTCTGTCCTATCTATAGATTGCTCCATCAGAGCTTCCTCTAGTCTTCAACTAAAATTGCGTGAGGTCCAGAAATGAACCCTCCTCACCAGTCGAGGTGCGGACAATTAAATACCTAAAAATATGAATTGACGGTTTTTGCCAGACCAGGGTATCTGCAGGGTATCTTTTTTTAAGACCTGCACAAATGAAATTAAAATAACTGTAAAAAGCATGATTTACAGTTCAGATACAGGTTTTCACAAACAAAAAGTTTTATAAAAGTGATAAACTTCACATTTCAGCCTTTAAACTTTTTTTTTTGAAGAAAATGGATTCAAAAGTATCAATTATTATATTAATTTAAACAATTATCAATAAATTATTATATTAATTAAATAAAATATAAATATATGTTACGGTCTTAATTGTTTAAATTTTTATAATGCATTATCTTCTTGTCGATCCACCAGTTCACATTTACAGCTCTGCGTGTTTGCTACATAAAAACATGGGTTGATTTTCACGTTGGTCTTGACAAAAACAGCAGACGGGCTTACTGAAAATGCACATTCATTTGGAACGGCAGATATATATCGGTTTCCCCGGTAATGGCAGTACACAAAGCAGCGATACACCTGACTTTGAAATGTGTAGAGCTTTATTTATTCAATAAAATCATATCCTTTTGAAGTTTATTCGTCACATCAAGCTGTATCGCTATTTGTCTTACCGTCCTCAAATTTAAGTCCTACTGAAAACATAATTAAGAGTTTCTTGTACCATGTAAGACTTTTTATGGCCTTAAATTTGATACAACTAAATTTAGACTTTTTAAGGGCCCGTCAACTTTTCAAATTTTTGAGAATGCCATTGTTTTTCACTCACTGAAAGTTTCATCTGTCTGCATGCCACTTCCTGCTCTCTTCACTGCATGCACGAGTCACGACCGCACATCTGACCATAGCAAAAGTTAACCATAGTAACAACCCGTGGCACCGTAGAACCCAAACAGCTCTACTGAGCTGATCTTGATGTGCTTGATATAAATTTGATTTTATTAGAAAATAGCATTTGGCATTTATTTATTTCATTATGTCAAAAGGCTACGTAGTCCGGATGGACGCATCTCACGGTCCAGATTCGGACTGGAGTCCACCAGTTGTCGACCCCAGCTCTAGTCTGTACAGTATGTGCTCTAACACATACCGAAGCAGCATTCGTGTTCACACTTGACAAGGAGCTGGAATACAATTCCAGGACAAAAAAACACGTTAAAGGAGAGCTAACAGAGGGAATGTGCCCTTTACCTTCAGACAAATTTGTCCGAGACACCCTGGTTGAGAAAAACGCTTACAGCCTAACTACATCTAGAAAATGTTGCACAACAGCTTGCAGCTATTAGTATTGATACTCCTATTATTGCTCCATCAAGGGCGCTGACTGTACCCACTGTGGAAAGAAGAAGAAGAAAAAAAAAACAGCTACCACCACTAAACAGCACGTGGTTGTGTGCTCAGTGTGGTCTTCAGTCATGTCAGCATTTCTACAATGCCTCTTGCTTCTGTTGTTCCCTAGTGTGTAAAAGCATCATTGAGCAAACAGTGGCCCGGGGCACAGTGAACAGCCCTTGCTGGAGATGAATGGATATGCACGCTCTCACTACTCTTCTACCAGAGATCAAGTGTGAGGCAAGACCTCTCCCAGGAGTCCCATCATTAATTAGGCATGAGATTGCTCTACTGTCCCTGCCTGGATCAGCTCAATCCGTCTATGGATAAAATATGATCGCACACCTCTTACCTTTCGGACCCTGGGGTGGCCTGCAAGGGCGGGGAATCAGAGGGCTGTGCCAAATAGCACCTTACAAGTGTAGCCGCTGGACCCCAAACCACTCAGAACAGCCCAACATCGGTCACAGCCTGGGACCCTCAGGGGGTGGAAAACCTTTCAGCTTCTACAGGTACTTCTCTTGCTGTCTATGCTGACAGGCAGCAAGGGAGTGCTAAAAGCGAGACCTATGGAAAATTAATTTGTGGGCACAGCATGAATCAAACTGCCTGATGGCCTGGAAATTGATCTGGGAGAGCTTGTCTTAGAAAAAATACGCTTACAACAAACCCAAAATGGAGATCTTGTTGGAGTGAGAACATTACTGTACAAGTATTTTGACTATATTTATTAAAGATGTGGCTAAAACCTGGATCTCTAATTTTGCTATACATGTGAGAGTGTATTATAAAATTCACAGATCAAAGTAGGAAAAATAAAGTGCTCATAAAATGTGTGATTTGTTTCACTGAATCTCTTTTAAAATACATTACAGATTAATTAGCTTTCATGAGCGATATAGCACTTTCATTGACCATAATATTGTAAATTAAAGTAGGATGTGTCCTGGAGCAACATTCCTGTCAAACAATGTCCTAACCCTAACCTAACCACAACCAACTCAAGGGGCAGTGATTGGTAAAATCAAAGGCTGATTGGTCGATCAGAATGGTACAATCCCCAACCCTAATCTTGTGTACATCACTTAAATGTGATATTATTCCAGGACCAACAAGGATGTTAATACAGGAGAATGCCTTACTCAGCAAAAGCACAGACTGTAACCATGTACTAGTATTCATCCATTTATCTATTCTCTATCTCTATATTGCTTCTGCTATGTAGGGTCACAGGAATGCTGGACTCTATCCCAGCATCTTTGGCCGAAAGAAGGGAAACAGGTGGGCTGTCCCTCACAGGGCTAAAATACACAGACAGATACACACATTCACACTCCCACTCACACCTAATGCAGTCTCTAGTTCACCTAACCTGTAGATCCTTGGATTGTTGGGGAAATTGAAGTATTCAGACGAGCCACTCCAACATGGAAAGAACAGAATGATGTCCTGATTTAGCCATGACTCAGCTGGGGACCTTTTTGCTGTGAGGTAACAGTGCTAATATTCTAACATGATATATAAATAGCATTCACGCAGGGCTGCGGCCTACTAGTTAACATGTTAAGTCATGGGTGATGTGAGTTCACACCCAGCTCCTGTCTTATTGGAAATATAGATAGCTAAAACGCCAAGAAGGAAAAAGAGCCTTTATGCACTGAAATGATCTGCATGTGAGTTTAAAGGCTCTTATGAATGGTTGGGTTGCCAACGCACTGATGAAGTCAGCACTGACACGAGAGGTTATTATTATGTTGGCTGATCTGTTTAAAGGTGAGGAGAGAATAAGTCTTCTTGGCCTATCGCTGAGTAGTGCCCTAGAGAGAGTTATGGCTTTAATACGAAGACTGCTGCTTTAATTTTTCCCCTAGCATCAATGAAATGGTCAGCATGATCAGACATTCATTGGGCTCATGTCAGACTGTGTTAAAAGAAAGCATTCTGGTAGTCGACAGACCCCACAAGGCATCTATTCAGCACATACAGTACAGCAAAGATAGAAATGCTTTGCTCACCCCCAGGGAAGATAGTCATCATATATGCACACTTATATAATCCCCACACTTTATTACTTTCTTTCTTCTGTGAAACACACACAAAAAAAACAGTATTTTATAGTGCCAAGCTCCAAAATGAAAAAAAAAAAGTTGCATAAAATTATAAAAAATATATATTTCATGTTTTCTAAAACAAACGATAATGATAGCTTTGTGTGAGGAACAAACTAAAATAAGACGTTATTCATCACTTATAATCTTCCCCTCATTTGGAGCACACAAATGCTGACTTTTTGGCACACTAGTCACATAAGGTATGATGTTTTTAATGGCAAATGCCATTGTTCTTGCCATGGCTAAGGCAGAGGGGAAGATTACTAGTAAAGTACAAGTAAACTACATCAAATTCAGTCTGTTCTTCACACAAAGCTATGTTATTACTTCAGAAGACTTGGATTATATGTGCATGACTCATATGGATACTTTTATGGTGTTTTTAGTTTATTTTGGAGCATGTCAGTATAAATCACCATTTTCCATGCGTGAAAAAGTGAAGCTGTTACCTTCAACTTATATTCTTCTTTTGTGTTGCACAGAAGAAATTAAGTCATAAATGTTTGAAACAACATGAGATGATAATTTTTTCCCAATTTTTGACCACCTTTCTTTAAGTGTTTTACATATTTTACAGTACATAAACGTTTGAATGCTGGACACGGACACACACCATGCCTCATTGGAAAATTTCGATAACTTTAATACTAAAAGGGCAGTAGGCAAAGGTTTAGACATGAGAACTGAATGTCTCTTAACTTCTCATGTCTTAGAAGAAATACAAATGCACAATAAACACATCTTTACACTGCTGAGTATGTGGCCAACCCTCACAATTTTGCCTTGGTTCAAGGAGATAAAATGGAGAAAATCAATAGATCTTACCTGAATCGTGGGTGGTGAGCGCTGCTTGCGGGTAGTGGTGGTTGACAGGGTGGTGGTGGTCTCAATGAAGGTGGTGGACATCTCTGGGGGCATGGAGGTGGTGGTACGTGAGGGGCTTCTGCTGGTGGGCACATCCCCCACCAGTCTCACACTGCCATTTATCTTGATGTTAGCATTACCTTCAGCTGCCATGTTGAGAACCTTCAGGCCATTGTAATAAAGACCAGAGAGCTGGCCTTGATACGGTCGCTTGCGGTCATTACCGCCTATTGAGATGGTGGCTTGGGTGTTAAAAATGGTCAGCTGACGACCTGAGAGGAAGACCAGTGAAGGAAAACAGTCAAAATGGTTTACGTCACTTATTTTTTATTTTATAATTTTTTTTTTACATTTAGCTAATTGATTCATGTTAGCATTAACGGTCTAGCTTTTAAAATCCATAAAAATTTAAATGAGCTTTTTTATTTTTTTTGCCGTGTTCACGCTAAGGTGCTTCTCATGCAAATGTTTTGGGGCAAATTCCAAATGGCTTTTCATATGGTTAGAAATAGAAATGCAGGGCGATTAAAACTACTACACATTTACAATTCCATATTACAGCGGGCAAGGAAGAAAGCTCATCTCATACATTTCAAAGGAATATCATGTTGATTCATGCATGTAGAACCACTAATTGGATTTCAATGTGGTTTTAGACAGTGTTAAAGGGACTTTATAATCATCTTATGTAGTTTAGGCAATGACCTTTAAACGCATTTAATAATCCAAAGGACTTTAATGGTAAATTTGATAAATGGTCACCCCGCCCTTTCATCCTGTTTTTGAATGAAACTGAAGAGGTGTCGGTCGATTTCATCACCGGCTTCAAACACAAAATTGCTTTAGTCTGCAAAGTGGTGTTTCACTTCAGCACCAATTTGTTGTTTTTGGAAACGTGCTGCATTAAGGGTTGGGTTTTTGGGCTATTCCACCACTAACATTAACGCTATGGAAGATCATTCCAATGAAAAGCTATAAACAAGCATCCTGACTTTTGTTGAGTTTTGGTTTAGATTTAAAGTTGGAGTCCAGAAGCTACAGTACATACTTATGCAGTGTTATTCTTAGTTACCAGTCCCTTTAACTGGTCAATGATCTGATGGAAATAACAAAAGAAGATCACAATCCACATAAAAAAATAATACTCAACGAAAATATTACGTAATGGGAAGGGAAGTAAATTATGAACATTTTTAGGTTAATTAGTGGCAAAAAGCTAAGCAAAGACTCATCAGACCTGGTTGGACAAAAATATAACGAAACGAAATGACAAGGAGCATATGAACGCAAATTAAAATCAACGAAAAAACAAAAAAACAAAACACTGAGGGTCTTGTGAGGGTTACCTTTCTCATGTAGCCAATCTTCGACCGGCCGGGTATATTTGAATGGGATTTTCTTATTAGCCATTTGATAACGCTCATTGTCGCTGTTGCCTTTAAAGTTTGAAAGACATTTTAGCACATTGCACATTTATACACTGTTTAAGAAGGTTTAGCCGTGTTTAAAATTATTTAGGTCTTGTTATCATAGGCAGTTTAGGTTTCATTGTAAGTTTAACTTCAGTTGTAAGATTATAAGGCATTTTTATTAACTAGTAACCAACTAAATAAACAGTTTAACACATATAATTATTGCAGCAAGAATCACACACCACACTTAGACTTTAAGACAAAATACAGGCATCTGTTAAAGTGAGACATACTAACAATTAATTTCAAACTGCATTTCCACTGAGCTTCTGTAACAGGTGATCTCCTGCTCAGCAATCTTTAAAATGGGGTTTAAATATTTTTCCCACTGGACATCACATGCTTTTACATTTCAAGTTGCCAAGGAACACTTTACAAACTATTAAGGTAAGGGAAAGAGAGAAAGGGAGTGAATGAGAAAGAGAGAGAGAGAGAGAGAGAGATAAAAAGAGATAAAAAGAGATAATGTGTAGACACTCTAGACCTGCTGGGAAATAAGGCTTTTGATGACACAGATTTGAAGAAGACACTGCATACAGATGAGCTCATTACAGAATGGTGTGAGGCCTGCTGCTGCGGGGTCCCTGGAAGACCTCTGAAGCACTGGGCCGCTTGTATATTTCACCATTTTTTGGACTTTGTTAAACTTCTTTCTCTGACTGGAGTAAGGTGTTATAAGGTGTCTGCCATCTTGGGTGTACTTATGTCACGTCCAGTTCATCAAAGAATGTTGGAGCTTTTCATATTTCAAGCACATGTTAAATGAAAGTTGGGCATATTGAATGAAATGGCATGTTTTCTTTCAAACTAAAGGATATTAAACAGATTCAAATTTTTGAAGTTGATCTTTTTCATACTTTGAACTATAAGTACACCAATATAGTGAACAAGTCTATAATTTTATAATGTTTTTATGGTGCTTTTCTTGTAATTTTTTCAAACTAAACAGCATCTGTACCCATTCACTTCATTGCATGAAAAAGAGCAGCATGAACTCTCTTCATGCTGGGTAATCAACATCAGGGTAAGTAGATGATTGCATAGGAACTCAAAAACGACAATTCTGCAATTTCACATACATCAAGAAGAAGAAGAAAAAAAACCCTACAGCTTGAGAGCAAAAAATGCAAAAAGGACTTCAAAAGAGCAAAGTTACTCAACACATCTCACTTAGCTAAACAAGCCACTGAGCGCTGAGTCACAACGTACTGAGAAGGAACTTCAGAAAGAAAAAAAGTGCATAGAATCGGAGTGCTATTCAGAAGCACAAAGGTTCTACAGTGACAGGGATGTGAAATGGACGAGGCCGGTGGCGATTCAAGGCCCCACTTTTCTTGTGCTTTCCTTTTTAAATAGGGAGAAAAGGGGCTTCAAAGTTACTGCTGGCTGAGCAGGGGGGATGTGGGCGAGGTAAAGTGGTGAGGGTGGGGGGTAATAAGTAGTTTCCAGGGCTGCCGATGCCTTTGATCCTGACAGGCAGCGCATGCAAGCCTGGGGCTGGAGTGGCTTTTCTGGATGGAGGCCTGCATGCTGGAGAGATCCAGGAGAGCTTGAGGGTTTGGACATTAATTTTAGAGATCAGACGCTTTGCCAGTGCTCGCTATCTGTCATGTTAATGTGAATATATTATGATGATCTTTGCAGAGCTTTCTAACCTACAAACAATGTTCAGTGGCTATAGAGAGTGGGAACCTGATGTCACAGCGCAATGTATTGTGGGAATTTAGGACACGCGAGTTAGAGTAGGGACTGAATAGTAGTGAATGTAGACATTTTATATTATTTTTTTTGTTAATATTATTCAGTGAGAATGGCTATGGCAATTGATACAGTAAGCATTAATCATCACAACAAGATCTTAGTTGAATAATATAACAAAATAATACAAAATGTCTACATTCACTACTGAACCTTGGTGCAAGTGAAACTGAAATTAGGTAAGGTAAACAAATTAAAATGTGGCTTTATAATTATAGATTTATTATATGTTACAAATACATTGATTTGCATTGGATTGAACCGCTCACACCACAAATACGGTGGAAAATCACATCTGGAAATGTTATTTGCGGCATCTTGTTGATACCCGACCACTTGTGTATGATTGAGCCTATTAAATTTTCTTTATTTACTGCATTCCTCTGCTTACTTGTTCAGCATATCTAATAGTAAGGAATCTCGCATTTCATTCAAGACATTTAAGTGAAGTTATTTATTTATACAGTATCCACAAAACACATTTCAAAGCAGCTTTATATTAAGTTATTCTGTTATGCCCATAATGGCTTAATGCTTTAACATTGAGCAGTTTTAGGGCTGGGTGATATGATGATATATAACGATGCTATATGATCCACTGTTTGAGATCTACCTTATTCTCTTATCAGTTTTATCAGTACCTCTTTTAGGGAACAAGACTGAGTACTATGTAATGAATATTTGCAGTGTCTCATACACTTGCACTTTTTTATTTTCAAACACATGACTGAGCGATTTATGTTTTAACGTAAAGAGATCTGCATATTAGTTCTGTTTTATTCTAAGCGCATCTAAACGGTTTTCCAAAAATTAATAATAAAAAAAAAAGGTCTGCTTTTTCTATGGTGATTTGTAATTGTTTACAATGTTTACATTGCACAGAATGCAACACGCCGTGACATAGATTTCCATTCTCTATACTCTGGCTTAGGGCTGCACGATTATGACAAAAATCATAATTGTCGATTATTCCCTTGAAATTGTAATTGCGATTATTAATTACGATTATCACAATTTACATTGAATGATGTTTATGCCATTGTTTGATGCAACTGCATGCCGTATTTTTATATGAAAATAAACAAGCTGAAAACACTCTAACTGAAAAACTTTTAGTGCTTTTCTATAGTATTAAGCCTCAAATGTCAACTATACATCGGATTGGTTTCTTCTTTAAATTATAAAAAGTAAAAATATGAATGGACAAACTCTTTGCATAGTTTACTAGGGCAAATTTTTAACCACTACACCACACCGCCCCTACAATATTTGAAAAATAAAAAAAAGAATGCATGTATATCTTATCCCAATATGAGCGCTTAACTTCACAACACAATCCTGGAGTGTCATACTCCATCCATAAAAGCTCAGACCAACAGAAGAGCTCTAATCTGTGAGAGATGTCCAAAAAGCCAATGCTGTCTGTTCCCTCCCATCCATCAGCACATTTGTTTCCAGCTAGAACGATATCTGAATCACTCCCTTTAGACGGCACTGCTTTAGTCAAAACAAATGCTGGCATGGTGTCAGTATGTCCTCTTTCAGCACCAGAGATTTGCGGTAGGGGGCCATCAGCAGATGCTGAAAGCATACAAACAATGTGCGAATGAATTCTGTTGCCAGTTCATCATGGTCCATACTGGTGAGAAGTGGGAAGTGTCTGTTCCTCATTGGAATGCAATCTAACCTTGGCTATAAGGGTCTCGCTGGACACATCTCAGAATATTGCATGTTCTGTTCAGCTGTTCATAGGACGGATCTTTGTCTGCATGGACTTGCGGGAGTAAGTTCTCTTGATACTGTTCTCCCGGGGACACATGAGACTTTGCAAATCTTTTTTTCTTTTTTTAACATGGGCTATACATCTACACATGGGCAATACATCTGCATATGACTGCCACTAAAGAAGGACATCAATGAATAGTTTTACATCATCACACCATTGCCCATGCCCACTGCTGCTAACACCTGTCTAAACCACGCACAAACGTCACGCAAATAGAACAAGCAAACAGAATAAGCAAACAGAACCCATTATAATCACTGTTTACACTGGATACAGTATACAGATGCCCACTGAATTTCACACATAATCCATGAGTTTAAGACTGCTGACAATAGGACAAATGGAAGAGTTAAGGAACGTTCATTTTGATCATTCAAGAAAGCAGTGTAGCTTCATCGATTGTCACATTTGAAATCTATTGCCAAGAATTACTAATAACCTGCACTGATTTAAAGGTTCCCACTTCTCCCATGAGGAGCTTGACCTTGTTGCTGCCTTTCATTTATCTTTTTTTTTCAAGACACAGACACAATCGCCAGAGTCCATCAACTGAAGCCACGCTTTCAACTCTGCAATGCCAGCTGAACATCATTATTCTTAAGCCACATGAATGGAAAATGCAAATCTCATTCAAGTAAAATGAACTTTTCAGTGTGCATGTGTGTCCTGTATAAAAAAAAAACAGATCTCTTTTAAGTAAACTTTGTTGTTTTGATCTCATATAACGCTTTATACAACAGAGATCGTTTCAAAGCAGTTTCAGTATTAAGCAGGAAAGCAACAGAATCAATTAAACAAATTAACAAAATTAGGCAAATCCAAACTGTGTTGTAAAGCAGCTGTAGCAAGAAAATAGTGTCATTATTTAGCTCCATTTAGTTTGCTGTTGGTTCAGCTCAGTTTCAATAACTGTGTAAAGTTCATTCATTATGAAATAAGTTTAATTCAGATATAAGCAGCTCTACTGAGAACTGTAAGTTCAATGTTGATTTCATTCAGTTTAATAACAGTGTCTGTGTTGCTAAATTAATCAACAGTGAACAAATTAATCGCCACTGAAAACACATCGAATAGAATAACTAAATGTACTTAGCATGTTTCCTTCATATCTGCAAACATATTGGGGTATTTTATGCTTTAGAACAGTAAAAAAATACAAAAAAATAAAAAAAAAATCCATACAGCACATCTAACAGCAGCTCAAAAGTATTTGTGTATTGTGACAAAATTGTATTTCTCTGGTGTCACTCTGGTAAGCCCTGCACTTTGTGCATTTCTTTTGATCAAATCACTTTAAATATCTTAACTTCTTATTGGTGAAATAACTTTAAATATCTTAACATTAAACATCTTCGGTAACACTTTATTTTAAGGTGTCCTTGTTACACATGTTACATGTACTTACTATTATAATAACAATTAATTATGCATAATTACATGCAAGTAACCCTAAGCCAAACACTAATCCTAACCCTAACCATAAGTACATGTAGTTAATTAATATTACTCAGTACTTATATGTATAATTACACTGTAACAAGGACCCCTTAAAATAAAGTGTAACCACATCTTCTTTTTGACTTGCATTCAGTGTGCCCCAACAATTGCTTATACAATCATGCTAGGGTATAACATATGAATAAGCTCAGGGATCATGGCTACCCCGGAAACATCCCATGCCATGGCAACACAGCTGCATGGATCTGATAACAGTTTATTGAGTGAGGCAGGAACGCAGAGGATCACTGCCGTGAAGCATTTCAAGTGCTATTCAGTCTATGAGTCTGAATCCCAGCCTGTAATTACTCAAGAGATGGTGCGGGAACTGAAATCAATTATTACAGCAAGTACAGTATAGTAAGGTCAACAATGTAGCACACTAGCCAGCTAACTAGAAAGATAGATGTGTTATGGATGGAAGGAAAGCACAGACATAAAGACAGGTGTATTTAAAAGGTAAATTGATTGAATAAGAAAGACAATTGTTCAGATTTTGCTCTTTCAGAATGTTTTTCTGTTTGATGAGTCATGTTAACATGGCAGTCTATCCTTGCTAATATTTTGTTTGATATCTTTTTTTTCCCCCATCACAGAACATTCTCATATCAACATGGTTATGACATATTTGTGCTTTACACTCTGGATACTAAGTAAACACAAGATTCACAGTGATTCTGTAGATATCCTGCAATCTGTGTAAAAATATCTCCTCATTTAAAATAATGCTAGATGCCACTAGGAATGTCTATTGAATGAATGTTTCACATAGACTACATCATTATATCATTACATCATGTCTCTGAGACTAATTTGAGACTGAGTGATGCAACAGCTTAAACAGAAGCCACTCTCCCTTCTCTGTGCAGGTTTATTTTTCAATGTAAAAAATTTACATGTATTGAGTTTGGCCATTTAGGACATTTCAGGTGTTATATTTAGCTCTGAGGGTGGCTAATAGTCTGTAAGGAAAATGGCATGCTTTCTCCGGCTCTTTGTCAGTGTCCATAACAGAACCAGCTTGAATAGGGAGCAAAGCATTAGCCTGTGTCCTTCTGCCTGTTCCCTCTGCCTGCATGTTGGCCATTTAAAGGCTATCTCTCTTTAGAAAGACCTGCCGTTGAATACAGCTTGAGTAATCCTGACGAGAGCTACTCTCTAATTGGACGAGAAGTGCAGGGGCCAGATATCCCATGGAGAGTGCCGAAGCAACAGAGACATCAAAGTGGAGGACACAGAACCCAAATTAATTGAGTGTGAAGGGTTTTTGAGAGTTTTTTTTCGATGGCGTTTGAGGGCAGTATTTCAGCATGCCCTATTTCTCCATGTTGGAAAAGCTTGAGGTTCTATAACAAACCTCTGCTGCATTTGATGAACTCATTTGTATTCATCCATCATTGCTGGCTTCCTAAGTCTGGGAGTCACAGATACACAGAGGTCTCGAGCTCATTCTCCCACAGCTGCTGTAGCTGCCACAATACTGCCTTAAACCTGTGCCCTCCTTTTGCCTCTGCCTTTCAAAGCCTCTCAAAAGCAGCTGGCCAGATGTCATGGCGCTAATCGCGAGGACAAAGGCAATGGCTTGGCCTGCTATTGTGCGCAGGCCAGGTGCCCAGGCTTGATTACTCCCACATATGGACATTTCTGAGGACAATTAAGAAAGCAACATCAGCCAAGTCGATCGAGAACTATGGCATTTGCTTTCTTCTTTGCAGTGTCCTTTCTCTTCTATGCCTTTCCCTCAGCAGAAAGGAGATCAGTGTTATAATTATGAACACCTGTTCCTATTTCTAAAAATGTGCATGCTTTGAAACATGCAGATTATAAATTACATGGGCAGGAAAATTATGTTGTTCCTTGCCTTCCAACCCTTGATTTCCTTGGGAGCATATGATATCCAGTGGGTTTAACAGTAAAATCTCACTTCTGTCTGAGAAACTTTACTTTAAGTAGTTAGCATTCTGCATATGTTACCTGATGGAAAGTGCTCGTTGATTGGCCAGTTGTCCACCTGTAAGGTGGCGTTTCCCCCATTCCTTGTGAAGCGTACAACATGATATTTTCCATCGTTGACTTCTGTATTCAGCTCTTTGACGCTGATGTCCACTGTGCCAATGTTGAACGTTACGCCCACCTTTCCTTCTTCCTGGAATAGAAACAACACAAACAATCTCAGCAGAGCAACACCAAATGGCTGATTAAACTCAGCGTAAAAGGATGAAGATGCTAGCTTAAATAGCAGGAATCATTTGCACGTTAAAGTGATCCACTTTTAGAAACCTCTGCAATGATGCATGCAAAGTGATGTGGATGCCAAGAATGTGGTATTTTTTATATCCAGTTGATAAGAATGAGCTGCCAACAGAAATGTGGGACATACACGTAACGATGACTAATGCGCTTTGTACCGACCTACTGCAAATTCACAAACATATGCTCCTCCACCTTTCACATAGCCTATGTATCCCATATGGCTCTAGTTTGTGGACTTTTCATAACTCCCTAATGGAGAACTAAGACAACTTGCCCCATTGTCTTTTACACAGTCTGCTAGCTCTATTCACAAAGCCAATTTCACTTCAAGTTCATGTTCACATAGCCATCATGAAAGGGTTTAAAGGCATGCCACACTCGATGGAGTGCATTTCCTGTCTTATGTCATTTGTTTTAATCCCCACCAGGTCTCTTGAAGGTGTACTTACCTGTCCTCAAGGCACAGTACAGAGGAAGCCATTTTTCAAACAAAAGGGAAGGTAAATAAATACATGGATGTGCTGTACAGAAGTGTGCGATAAATGAAGCTGCCACCACACACACCAGCTTTCACTGTTCCTCAATGTTTTCTGAGGGCTTCCCAAGACTTAGCGTGCTCCACTTTCAATGAACGTAACCTAAGATCTGCCGACAAAAGCACACCTATTGCAATTGACAATTAAAGTGGAGGTGCATGGGATGTTTTTAATGAGAGGTGTATTATGATTGTTAATTGTGTGAAGGCAGAACAAAAGCTGAAGAATGCTACATTGATATGCACTGTTTGCGCTCTCCATTAGAGCCAGAAAAAAAAGTGGTGCAGTACACATCAACCTGATCTAAGAGTCTATTTAAGCTCTCTGATTGCAGCTATACTATGCCTGGCACAACTCGAGATCTGCAAACTCCCATAAAGTAATGGCTGGTTGGGCAGCACCATCTGATTATTAGATGTCCAATTTCAGACATTGTGAGGGTTGAAATGATAACAAATGGGAGTGAATCAGGAAGCTTTACAGATTTCTCTGAAGCATCTCTTTCTATAGTCCACCAATTCTCTACCACAAGCAACATATGCTCAGTTCTAAATCCTAGAGAGCTGACTACTGAGGCAGCATTTTAAGTCATCATTAATGCACTCTAGATGCAAATGCTAGAAATGTACTTATGCTGCCTCCTTAGATACCTTGTTTCTAAGGCAGCCTATTTTGAATCATTTGCAGAGAAGGCATTGTGGCGAGCTCCATGTAAAAAAAAAAAAAAGATGGTGTACGACTATACGAATGTAAATAAATGTATAAATAAACATATTTAATGAAATACTCAAAATGAACTACACCCAATATTGCTAGGTGCTACGCATGTATGCTTATTAGAGTATCATGATGTTAACCTAGAAACATGCTAATGCCAAACTCTACTGAAATCATCTGCAAGTCAAATCTCCATAAGCACTATTTGTGTGGAGTTGCTGCATAAGTTAAAGTGTTCCAAATCACTCAATCAGTAAACAGTAGGCAGCTCACTAAGTTTTAGTACAGAGCTGTAGTCCTACTTGGTTCCCTACATGCATATCCAGGCTGCATGCATATCATAGACATTTCCAATTACACTGCATTGCCCAACAACATTTCATTGTCTTTTCAGAGAATGGGCTGGTTAAGATAAATTGTATTCTAAAGAAAATAAAACCATTCACAATGATGATGGCAATAATGACTCGCCATTGTTACACACTATAGTCAATTTCAATTCCTATATTCACGATATTGAGCAGCATTAACGCATTATGGTAAGACAGCACACACTATATTGCTTTTTTTTCATTAGAAAGTGAACAGCACACAGGATTGATGCTTGCTGAATGTTGCGCTTTCTCTGATATAATACCTGATGTCTCACAGATGGCGGCAAACATTTAGAAGGTTATTGCAGAATTTCGCTGCGACTGAGAGCATAATGTCTGGTGTTTCCCCGCCGTGGGTGGTACCAGCGTAGCCAAGAGTGATAAAAGTAATTTGAGTTGCAGCAGGCTCCTGCACCAATGAAGAAGGGCTCTATCTCTCCCCCATGTAATGTTCCCTGACACCAGTAATAAGTACACTACACAATCCAATTTTGTCCCTCCGATCAATGGCTCCAACAAAAAGTCAGCCCCAGGCATCAAATCTCTCCCAGAAAGCCTCTAGTGCTGCGGCAGCCTGCAGACAGGTGCGCAGTACCCTGATCTCTTGGCAAGGGACTAAACCATATGCAACCATCTTCATCAGTATAAACAAACCGTAGTGCAAAAAACAGCCTTCAAATTTTCTACAGCAAATTTTTAGGCTATAATTAGATACTTTTCAATTGCTATGTCCGAAACCCAGTTTGATTCTCCCTTCAGTTCTGTATTCACACTGAATCATTTGGCACCAAACTTTGGAACATTTGCATCATCATTTTGCGTTCTACTACCAGCTGTTGATCCTTGCATCTAGTTAACAACTCAGAAATAGATAGTTAAAAGTTATAAAAGTTTTATTATAAAATCTTAAAGAGGTCATATGGCGTTGCTAAAAAGAACATTATTTTGTGTATTTGGTGTAATGTAATGTGTTTATGCAGTTTAAGTTTAAAAAAACACATTTTCCACAGAATGTACATTATTGTTTCTCCTCTATGCCCCGCCTTTCTGAAAGGCGTCAATTTTTAGCAAACCTTTTACAAAGGTCTGAAAAGCGAGGTGTGCTCTGATTGGCCAGCTATCCAGTGCGTTGTGATTGGCCGAATACCTCAAGGGTGTGACGGAAATGTTACGCCCCTTACCATACTGTGATGCCGTGTCCCGGGACAAAGCCAGTAAAACCCATTATAAACGAGGCATTTGTTGCATCCAGTGGGGACATAATTACTGATTATAATTTGTTGTATTAAATTATAATGACTTATACTGTCTTTTTACGCGTTGCGTTGCGTATCGCACTGCGTAAACATAAAACCATTAGTTTTTATGTCTGCATTTGTGATCGGGGAAACGACAGACAACAAGTGCTACTCTACACTGCTCAAAACTCACGTTTGAATCGTTTGATTTCTAGCTGTGACCTCTTTTGGAAGGCCAAACAAAGTAGTTTCGCTTTCACAACGAAACACACAGCGTCTCCACGACATGGCGGTGGCGGCAACAATACTACAGCGAGAATCTAAGTTATGCCTTCTTTCTTTATGTGAACATTTTGTCAACGTTATGCAAATCTTCCCACATCGTGATGTAGACATGTGGGGGCGTGTTAGAACGAGCCGTTTTAGGAAGGCGTGGTTGACTCTTAACTTTTATAAAGAATATCTCTTTGGATTTGAGACTTTAGTCTTTGCAACTTTACAGATCTTCTTTATGCACCAAGAGCTTGTAACACTCCAAAGAGAAAGGAAAAATTGAAATAGCATCATATGACCCCTTTAATATACACAAATCAGCACTTGTGTCTGTCTGTCAAAGATACAAAGAATGCAAAAAATCCAAGCTGCTTGTCGAAGGTCATTTCTGCAGAGACAAGCTGCAATGAGAAATGCATTATGCTATAATAGGCAAATTATCCGTAATCAATATATTTTCATTTCAGCAAGTAGGTATGGAATGAAAGCAATCCAGCCTCGGTTTCTCTGAGTGAACCCCAACAACAACAAAAAAACATTCACACCAACCAAACACTGAAGTGAAACAGACTGGAGAAAAAGCTGAAGTTTGAAAGGATCAAGTTCCATTTTGTTCCATTCCAGAATGATTTTAGCTACTTTGAAATAAAATGGGACCACCAGACCAATCTGACATAAGATCAATTGGTGTCACTCACTAACTGTGCTCAATTTGTGTGCGAGATCTGTATTATTATTTATGTTCTGTAACAGTTTAGGCCTATTAAATGCTAAAAATTATGGCAAATTATTAAAATTATTTACTATAGTTTTAAAATGGCTATATTAAAAAAAAAATAATAATAAAAAAAAAAGCCTTGTTTTATGCCAACTGTGCATATAAATACAAATAGTCCATATAATTGTTAGTGAATGAGCTGCAATGATTCCAAGCAGTTGACCAAAATTAGCATCCTTTCATATGTCTACTCAGGAGATTCAGAAATGAATGAAAATACTTGTGGCTGCAAGTATCAAACAACCACGTGACCTTTGATGATGGCATCCAGTATCAAATAGATAACTAATCCTTATGTATAGATTTACATAGGCCATCTACAGTACATGACCTAAGGGGTAAATTTAGCATGAGGTTAGAGCTCATCAAAATGGTATCATGCACATGCAAGAGATGAATCGATTGAATGAGATTAATGGCCTCTCGCTTGAGTCTGGGCAAAGATCTGTAGGCCTCCTCCACCAGTCGCCCATGAAAAGCTAGTGATTTTGTGATATTTGGAGGATGGCAGGGAACATTTGGAAGTCTGCAGGGCCCCCATCATTGGGGTAAGTGATGACCCTGTCAGTACCTTCCTGCACACTTAATTCCAATATTAATATTAGGGCTGCACGATAAATCGCATGTGATTGTTATGCGCATCTCGTTCGCTCACCTAGTTCGCTGACAAGCTACACAATATCGCATTCATAATCGCAGATGAATTGCATTCGATTATGAACGCGATATTGTGTAGCTTGTCAGCGAACTATGGCTCTGTGTATTAAATGCCTCTCCATCTGAAAGCACGTGATGGAGATTTACTACTAATCACAGAACCACCTTTACTGACTTGCCCTAGAGGGCCAGTGGCCTGCAGAGTTTAGCTCCAACCCTAATCAAACACACCTGGACAAGCTCATCAAGGTCTTCAGGATCCCTAGAAAATCACAGCTAAGCGAGTTTGATCAGGGATTGAGCTAAACTCTGCAAGGCAG